CAAAGGAGAAAAATCTTGTTGAGATTCTTGATCCTCGTATTTTAAAAGAGGGCAAAGGAAATGAGATTGAAGTAGTTGCAAACCTCGCAATGAGATGCTTAAATTGGAATGGGAAGGAAAGGCCTACAATGAAAGAAGTTGTAGTAGAACTTGAGGGATTGAGGATGCCTGAAAGGAATTCTCTTATTCAGAAAAACAACCAAGAGGGGGAGTGCTACATAAGTGAAACATCAAGCCTGTGGGATACTGGTTCAACTTCTGTTGGGTTCAAAAGTTCAGAGAGCAGTTTCACATCCCTCCTAGATGAGCAGCCACTACTGCATAAAACATCATCTAAATAATGGTGCGGAGATGGATCTTGGATATTTCTCTTATTTATTTGTGCAATATCACATGGTATAATTTCAATTAGCATTGACCTGATACATTGTTCATGCTAATGTAAACTTGATGCTTCACAATATATGCATATTATTGGACTATTTGAGTGTTCAAATATCGTGGGTTCTACAGGTATTGAGTGTACGTGAAAGAAATCATTCTGTTGCCGATGTCAAGGATCCTACAGGTATTGAGTCATATGGAATTGCTATCCCATCTGGACCAGGGCTATGTCAAAGTACAAGACCAAAACTCTCTACAGAGTCTAGATCTGTTCCCTACAAAATACATTCCAATACATTTCCAACATAATTTGACACCGCACATCTCATATAGTGGATCTTAGATTCATGAGATATGCAGTGTCAGATCATGTTCGAACTGGTTTTGTTGGGAGCAGTTACACAGAATTTTAGGACCTGTTTGATTTGTGAGAATAGGGATCTGGAATCGAATGATTCATTCCAACTCCAACTATTTGATTAAGTTGAATTAGAACTCTATTCCATTCTTGCTGGAATGACATTCCTCCATTTGAAGAAATCACTACTTCCTATAATTCAGGATAGCATATCCACAAATTGTACCCACAGAGCACCACCACCATGTATTGGGAACATTTCCCCATGAATGACAAGAGAGATATTCCTGCTGCACAGTTGTCGTGCCTCATGGATAGCAGATTCAAGCTCATTTCCTCCCCCTCCCTTGAAAATAAAATGTCAATTTAACTAATTCTAACTCTTATTCTGATTCTTGTCTGAACCAAATAGGCTATGGGAATAGATCATTCCAATTCTTATTCTGAAGGATTTTGATTCCTATTCTAATTCAAACTGCAAAGCAAACAGACCCTACTTATTCAATGCCCATAATACCTAAAGGGTGCATTCTGGGGAGGCCAAACGAGATCAAGGGCCGGCTCAACACGAACTTTTGCAACTACTACTGTTATTGGAATGAAAAGGACTACTGATTTTGAAGCTTAGGAGGTTGGGCCTGCTAATGGTGCCTGGTAAGACTACCATAGAAGTTCAGGCCTTTGGTTTTTCTCTTCTTTGTACAGGTAATTTCCTCATAGATCTTTTAAAATCAGGTACAATTGAATTTTTGAAAGAAATGTGACAACCGGTTTTCTTTGTGGTATAAATAGCAACTGATTTTCACAGCAAAAGAGGTGCCTTTGCTGCGTAAAAAGAAGGTAGAGATTTTTTTTTTTAAATGTTTATGCATAAAAGAACAGGTTTTTTGTTAAGAAATTAATATGTAATGAAAGGATTAATGCTTCACCTGTTGTTGAATGAAGTAGGACTTTTATGACTAGACAAGAGACAAGTGTGATATTAGTAGAGAAGAGAGTAGATCACCATGGTTATAGGAAAACTGGAAGTCCAAAATCACCTTGGAGTTGGAGAAAATTTTCTTACTTCGTGATTCAACTATGATATTGGAAAATGAACAGTTTTGGCCATTAGTTTTTGGTCAATGGTTCGACCATATTGTCAAAATGAATAGATTTGTTGCAATTTAAAGAAATAAAAATAATCAAAAACCATTGTTCAGATTGAATGAATTGATAGCAACTGCGTAGGTTAATGAGTCACTGACCAACTCAATGGTTTAGGGGTGAAACAAAACTGGTTGTTATGAATGATTTTTTTGGGTCAAATGGTCCAACCATCTCAGTTAATGGTAGTTCAAAAACAATGCATCAAAAATAATAATGGAGAACAAGGACCAAAGGCATGAAACTATTTTCTGTGAGAAAACATAATGGGGCTAACGGGAATTTCATTTTCTCCGTTACTCATACTAGAAGGTGTTTGCTTGTATAATTTATCTTAAAATTTTAAGAGAATTTTGTGGAGAGGTCTAAGGCCATGTTTGGAAGTGCTTAAAAATAAGCCCTTATTCTAAATAAGTGTTTATTTGAGCTAGAACCACACCAACACCATTAAGCATTTATTGGTGTTTATTAAATAAACTGAAAATAAATATTTATTTCAAAAATAAGGATTTATTTTGTAAGTTCAAATTTAGAATTTTTTTAACAATAAGCACTTGTATCATTTTTCCTACCAAAATTATCCACAATAAATTTTTCTAATACCATTAATGCCCTTCGAATCTAAAAGCCGAGGGTTTGGCCCATCGACACAATCTATGCCTTGTTCAGACATAACTATAACCAATGTTAAATGCAAAATCGTTGAGAGTCAGAATGAGCAGCTTCCCAATCACCTCTTAGAAAAGCTTTGTACAAGAGTCGGAAATGCCTCAGTTCCTTCAACACTTGTCGATGAGTAATGAGATCCATGGTTCGATCTGTTATGAACCAAACTTTCATTGTTAGAGTATTCTTTGGAGGAAAAACACAAATTGATTAAAAAATTGGGGAAGACATTCAGGGAGATGCAAAGGCGTGTTGAATTTGTCATTTATGAAATGAAGGACAAAAGTGCTTATTGGAGGAAAAAAAAAAGCACCAAACACCTGATATGAAATAAAAAATAATCACTTAAAAAAGCTGGGTGCCAAATGCCAATAAGTGCTTATTCGAATAAACACTTGTTTTTAAGCACTTATTCAATAAACACTTATTTTTAACATAAGCACTCCCAAACATAGCCTAAGTACAATGGAGATTTATGCATTTATTAGAAAACATAGGAAAACTTTTAAATAATTTACCCTTTTCTTGGCAAAAACTCAAGATTCATTACTTGTAATTCAATTTAAATCCTTACTTTCTTTGTTTTTTTTCTTTTTGCAAAAAAAATAAAAGGAAACAAGATTATTTACTTATAGTTCAATTTAAATCTATTTTGTCCATCTGCCCACATAATAAATATAGGTTTTTTTTTCCTGATTTTGGAATTAAAGTGATGTCAGGATTAAGGCTCTTCTCATGTCACTGGACTCTTTCTTGGTATCTGGTGTTCTAAGATGGAATAAGGCCTCGTTCGCTTTTCGGTAAGTTATTTACCTGGGTAAATGCACTTACTTGGGTAAGTGCCATTACCCATGTTCTTTTATTTCCCATGCAAACAAGGCAATGACCATTTTAGCCATAAAAATCCATTATTATAAGGGACATTTTTGTCCCATTCAAGTGTTGGCAACTTTCCCCCAAGGTGAGAAAGTTATTTACCCACCTACGAGATGGGTATCACTTACGCAGGTAAGTAGTACCCAGAAAAATAAATTTTCCCTGGTCCCCATATAAATCTGAAAAAAGAACATGGGATTTTTGGTCAATGGGAATAAAAATCCCATCGACCAACTTTCCCCACTCTCAAAATCCAGAAAAAGAACGCACCCTAAATGAAAACGAATTTTCTTTTGATTAAGGTTCTTCTTATATCAGGGCTGGGTCACTTAAGTTGCCACGAAAGTTGGATATCCCTTACCTAGCTTATTCTTTCATTTTTCTTCACCATTAACAAGCATTCTATCTGGTATGTTCAGGATCTTAGTGGTTAAGACTTGAAATTAATCTTATTGGAATGGACTCGCACCCAGGCCAGTTTTAAGGTCTAGAGATTTACCTTATCCAACTGACCTGGAGATTTTGGCATTGATTAGCTAAGGTGGGACTCTCGACAGGTAAAAATTAAAATAAAAAAAGCAGAAAATTTTTAACCTTTTTTTAACATTATTTTCTTGATACTACGCAATTTGAGAGTTCATCTCTTGCTACTTCTATATCTCAATCGTTCAGACCTGGTTATGTGTCTATCCTTGCTAAGGCTGTAACTTGACCAAGATCATCAGCCCAAGCTCCACCCGACCCAACCCAAGCTCTTGCGTAAGCTGAGCTTGAGTTTTTGGGTTTTGGAATAGGTCTGGATGATAAAATTTGGGCCTGACCTATATTTGGTTTATCTTGGGTTGAGGCCTTGGATAGCCTGAGCCTAACCGGTCCAAATTGCCAAAGTCCAAGTCCATCCCTATTTGTGTTTGAATAAGTTCAGGTTGAAACTGGGTTTGTAATTAAATTCGGGCATGTCCTCGGATTGCACCTCCAGTTTTTTGTATATAAGGTGGGGTGACACCATTTTACTACGTATTTTATTTTTCACAAACAAACAATATAATGTAAAGTCGGAAACATAAGTAGAGATTCTAAGAGAATTTTGTTTCAAATTGAATACCTTTGCTTCAAATTGTTTGTTGAGATTGGCTACTTGAGTCAATCTTCCCAAATTTAAAAACGAACCGCTGACCGAACTGGTTAGGGGTTCGGCTATCGAATCGAACGGTCCGATTGTTCAATCCAAATGGCTGGCCCGTTCTGACAAAAAAATAAAAAAATTAAAAAAATTAAAAAACGGTCAAAACTGTTCGAATAATAATCGATCGGTTCAGCGATTTGCTGACCAAAATCAACAGTTTTGGAGGAAAACGGAACTGGTCAGATGACCGATTCCTGGTATTTCCGGTCGGGTCCGGTTTTGAAAACCCCACGGATCCCTGGAGTCTTATTTTCTAGATACGTAGTAGGTTATTTTCATTGAAAAAGAAAGCCAATGTAATTTTGAATGGTCTCGATCGAGAAAATTGTTATAAATGACAATGAACATCCTATGAAACAAAACGATTCCTGGAAAGAGAAAACTATGGCTTTGGTCCTGCTGCTTCTTCAGCTTCTGTTCTTACGGCCAGCAAGTGCGAAATCGTCGAACATGTCAATGACAATGGCAAGGCCTGGATGCCAGGAGAGATGTCGAGACGTAACCATTCCCTACCCATTTGGGATCGGTGACTCAAACTGTTATAAGCAAGGCTACAACCTGACTTGTGAGGAAGGAAAACTGTTCATAGATACAGGAAATAATCGTCAACAAGTGTTAGAAATATCGCTAGGAGGCCAATTACGAATGTACGCTGCCATCAGTTACAAGTGCTACTCATCAGTCCATGAATCTGATCGACGAGATTCGTTCACTTCGATCATTAATTTGCAATCTTTGCCTTACACAATTTCCGACACCAGTACCAGATTCATGGCTATCGGGTGCGACACCATCGCATCCATAAATGGCTTCACCTCCAGCAATCGAAACTCCACAGTCGGGTGCAGCATGCTTTGTGGTGACAGAGAGAGCGTTGTGAATGGCTCATGCTCGGGCATAGGTTGTTGTCAGACGTTCATCCCGAAGGGACTCAAGAAAATGAACTTGGAGCTGGGGACCAACAACGCCCACCGTGAGATTATGGAGTTCGATTGGTGGTGTGACTATGCCTTGCTCGTTGAGGGAAACTGGTATCAGTTCTCAATGGCGGATCTCGAACATTTTCATTTAGGCGAGAAAGCTAGCGTAGTTCCAGTAGTGCTCGATTGGTCGATAGAGAATTATACTTGTGAAAACATTTCAAGAGATGATCCCTCTTTTGCATGCGGCAAGAACAGCGACTGTGTTAACTCTCCCAACGGGCTTGGATATATTTGCAACTGTTCTCAAGGTTACAGAGGCAACCCTTATCTGGAAAACGGATGTCAAGGTAATATATATGTAATCTCCTTGGGGCCTGAGAGTCTTTATCAATAGTTATTTCTGGAGATCACAGTTTTATCTAATTATGGGTTGCAGATATAGATGAATGTGCCGATAAATCTATGAACGACTGCCTGGGTATTTGCAGAAATACACCTGGAAGTTACAATTGTTCTTGTCCACCCGGTAGCAAGGGGGACGGAAGAAGATTTCCTTGTAAGAAAAAGCAATTTCCGGTGGATCAAGTCATCATAGGTAACAAAATCAAACACTACTTGCTCATGTATATTTTGATTTTGACTCTACTTACCAAAAAGTATACTTTGACTGTTTACTAGCTAGGTTGTTTGACTCCCAAGTCATAAGATTATACAGTTCTACTTGTGGACTCTCCATCTCCTACCCAAAATATCTTCCCAGAAGTCCACAACCCTCCGTTTTACCGTGCTTTCATCTTCTTTGTCACCTCAGAGCTAGGCCTTGGACCGGGCCCATATCACATGCCCAATTCTGACTAAAGGATAGAATTTGAATTGTGTGAAGTTGTACTCTTGATTTCGGGCCCATGACAATACAGTATATCAGCTTGGACCCCACATGTCAAGCTAATATGCTGTATCATGATTGGCCCAGAATGAGGATTCAAAGTGTCCAAGGCACCGGGTCTTAGAAAAAGATTCCTAAGTTGTTTAAACAAATTAAGGGGGAGTTCGACAACTAACCATGTGGTCGAGCACCCCCTAAGAGCTAAGATTCAAGAAACCGGTTGTAACATAAGTCTGGGAAAAGGGTTTAAACTTTGATTGAGCTCTATGTTAATCGACGCCCCGGCCCAAATAATTTTCATAAATACCGATTTTACCCTTAGTTAATAGGGATTAGCAAATGGGTCGCGTAATTGATTGGAATTAACCTTAAACCGACCTCCACCTATGCCGAAACTATTTTTCATAAATACCCATTTTACCCCTACTTAATAGGGCTTAGCAAATGCGTCCCGTAATTGATTGGATTGACCTTGAATCGGCCTTGGAATTGCCCACTCCAATAAGTTCTCACATTGGATCTGATTTTGAACCGACCTCCACCCAGGTTAATTCTAAAGTTTGGGGGTTAATCATACCTGAACTGCCACAACCGATTTTGATTGGCTTTGGTTGAATCATATTTAGTAGAACCGACTTGGTTAATCTTGTTAGAACCGACCTTGGTGGAATGAAATTACACAACCTTGGAATCAACCTGATTAATCTTAACAGAATCAGCCTTGGTGGAATCGAAATTATCCATTCCTTAGAAACGAACCTACCTTACAATAAATTCCAAAATATTTTAAAGATGTAAAAAATTGAACACAAGTACTCATGGTTCAAAAAACCATAGTTTAACTTAATTATTGAGCCACTTGAGCACATTGATATTTCTTTTTTCAATAATATCTGAATGTGTATAGCAAGTAATGTAAGTCGATAAATATAATATTTACAAAATTTAAATTATAATAATAAGTTTTGAACTTTATATTATGATAATCTATAGATTGAAATTACTCAATTGAGTATCATATATAATGTTTTAATCCAATATTCATTCAATTATTATTACTGAGTGATATTGATAATTCTAAATGCCATTTTGTCATATTGATAATTCTTAATGTTATATTAACACAATTTAATGATTAATATATACTACCATATTAAACTCAAGAATATACATACTATACTTCTACTATAAGTATAACTTGACATTTAATGGTAACAAGATTATACATTCCATTGTAGTACCACAAAAAAACTATTTAAATCATTATTGTTAAATAGTTGTGTTTATGACTTATAACCAATCATATATACTGATAAGAAAGCATTATTATGAATCAATCGGGATAAAAAAACTTTATGATAGATATTTAATCAATCATTTGATCTTTTAAAGTTATTAATAAATATGCACATGCATTGCACGCGGTTGTTTCAACTGACAACAATAATAAGAACACAATAATATGGTGGCCTAACTATTTGAATCACATGGTAGTTTCAATTGCACATTCCTTTTGTGCATGTACAAATTATGTCACTCCCAACAATTATGTTGAAGTTCATTATGTCTAACTATGTAATTTGGAAGTTGAAGATGCATGCAATGTTAGTGAAAGAAGATTGAGCAATTTCCTTGGAAAGAAAAAGAGAAGAAGCTTGTTGATATGAAAGATGAAAAGTTTGAAAAGAAATACTACATAGCCATGGTGGATATTCTTCTCGCATTAAAACATTTTTTTTTATTCAATGCGTCCAAAGAAATCATTGCCAAGGGTTTGTAAGACAAATTGCAAAATCTCTATGAGGGAAATTGATGTACAACTAATCCTTCCTCAAGAAACAACTCTATAAACTAAGAATGAATGCAAGAACGATTGAATGAGTTTTACACTCTAGTGCTCTTTTGGTTTGTTTTATGCATGATTCTTGGGATAGATTGATTATGAGTTTGAGAAATACAAAAAAAAAAATCTATCATTGGAATCTACCATTTCTATGTGGCAAATAAAAGAGTCTCATAGAAAAGTTAGTGAAAACTCTTATGGTGATGAAATGATGGTAAGAAGTAGATCTCGTGAGAGAACCAACTCTGATAGAAATCAAATAATATATAAGTTGAAATGCAGGAAATGACCAATGTTTTGGAGCTAAGGTAAGAAGGATTACTTTCAGAATGATTATAAATTACCCAAGGTAAATCAGAGTCGATCCAATTCTTATTAGGATCCAAATTCAAAGAATTTCCACAGTAAGTTAGAGCCAACCTAACTCTTATTGAATTATGACATTTCTTTCCATATGATGCCATGAAGAGATTGGTTCTACACATATTAGCTATGTAGTGGTGCAACTATTTACATGGGTGACAATAATACATATAAAATAGTGGGAGTTAAAGAAGTTAAAATTACCATGTTTGATGGCATCACTTGTATGATATTTGGTGTATGACATATTTCAAGACTACAAAAAAGTATCATAATGTTTGAAAAATTTAATGAGGATGGTTATAAGTTTTCTAGAGAGAAAGGTGGGCTAAAGATCATTTAAGTAGCTATGGTGGTTGCAAAAGGCAAATTGCAAGGTAACCTATACCACTAGATCAGAGATATCCTAGCCATCAATGCTATTATTGCAAATATTGTGACTGGTTTTATCATGACTTTGCACAACCATTTAGGTCATATGAGCAAGCAAGGACTAAAGGTATTTTTGATCAAAATTTGCTTCCTAGTTTAAAATCTAGTGGATTTCTATGAATACCACCTATTTTGGAAAATACCATAAAGCTAGATTTTCTAAGTCTAAAGCTAGAAGTAGAGAAGTATTAGACAATACACTTTGATACTTGGAAAGCTACTATAAAATCTCCCAAAGGTTTGTAAATCTTGTTTCATTTATTGATGACTTCTCTAAAAAGATACGAGCATATATACTCCAAAGGAAGAGTGACACTTTTTTCTTCTCCAAGAAGTTCAAAGCTTTGGTAAAAAACCAAGAAAGAAAAAGGGTTAAGTTTCTTCAAACAAATGATGGATCAGAACATACCTAAAAAAGATTGTAAGGATTTTTGTAACAAGCACGGCATAGTGAGGTAGTGTATGGTTCTTCAAACTCTACAACAAAACAAGGTTGTTGAATGGATGGACCATAGGCTCATGAATCAAGCCAACAACATGTTGAGCACAACTAGGCTACAGTAGTACTTTTGGGAAAAAGCTATCAATATGGCATTGGTAAATTAGTATTCCATTAAAGCACTTGATTGTAAAATTCTAAAAGAGGTATAGTCAAGAAACCCTTCATTGCATGCTTTTGCTATGATACTTATGTATGGATTTCCAAAAAGCAAAGGATCAAGCTGGATGCAAGGTCCAAAAAGTGTATTTTTTTTTTTTTTTTTGCTATACAAATGATACAAATGGGTACAGGTTATGTAGTCCTACTATCTACAAGGTTATTATTAGTCAAGATGTTGTACTCAATGAAGACACAATGTAGAAAGAAAATATGTGGCTAAGCTCAGAGATAACAAAGAAGGTTTAAGTGGAACCTTTCAACAAAGATTTAAGATCAATAAATTGATGAAATTGTTGATGACAATGATGAAAGAAAATTGAATTTTTTGAGAGTGAGACTCATGGTTATCAAAGTCAACTTAGGTGGGATACAAAACCTTTTGTCTACCTTTAGGGTTATGTGACAGCTTATGCATGCATCATAGAAGAGTATGATCTTACACTACAAAGCTATTGAAAGTATACATGCTTGCTACTAGCAAAAGGCTATGGATAAAATGAAAGTATTGAAGAAGAACAAAGATTGGGAGATAGTTGAACTACCTAAGGGTTGGAAGGCCATTGATTGAAGATGAGTGTACAAGCTCAAGAGAGATGCTCAAAAATTACCTTCTATGAAATGTTATCTCATGTTGTTCATTTGAGTACTATCCACACTATATTGAGTATAACTGAAGTACTTAACTTAGAGTTTGAGCATTTAGATGTTAAGACTGTCTTTCTACTAGAAAATCTCAAAGAAGAGATTTCTATGACCCTTCCTAAAGGTTATATCAAGAGAGAAGAAAGATCTGGTTTGTCGATTGATTAAATCACTTTGTGGTTTGAAATAGGTACCTAATGTTCATAGAAGTGATTTGATTCTTCATCATAAATTAAGTAGGGGATGAATGGTCCCCTCCTATTTTCTCATGTGCTAAGATGCCATAGCCGATGCAAACTATCCAATAAGTAGGGGAACCAATGTTCATTTCCCTCCACTCAAGAATTATACCTTATTTTAAAATATCATATGACATATATGCAAGTTTAATATTAGCTATCCAAAGCTTTAATCTAATCTAAGTTGTTTAGTCTTCTAAACTGATTGTACTTTTTATTATTCTAGTCTATTGTTAGCATACCATGTGTTTGATTTTTTTTTCCTTACCATGCTAGAAATTGGAAAACAAGTTTTGAATTTAAAATGTTTTGGCATGTATTACGGTCATTTGGCTAAAACATAACCCATTTTAGTAATATATGGAGACCCTTTAATTAGTCTTACCTAAATGATAAATTTTCCTAGCTCTTGCATATCTCCTTGCTAGAATATATTCATCTTGCAATTGATAAAACTCACTTAACAACTGTAGTCCAAGGAACCTTCGGATATCTTGACCCAGAATACTTCCGGTCATGTCGGTTTACAGAGAAGAGTGATGTTTATAGTTTTGGAGTGGTGCTTGTAGAGCTTCTAACCGGGGAGAAGCCTATTTCTCCCATCGGACCACAAGAATGGAAAAACTTGGCCGCATATTTTGTTTCTTCAGTAGAGGAGAATTGTCTAGACAATATTCTTGATCCTCAAATTGTAAGGGAGGATAGAAAAGAAGAGATACAAGTAGTTTCTGACCTTGCAAGGAGATGCTTAAACCTAAATGGAAAGAAAAGGCCAACAATGAAAGATGTTGCTTTGGGGCTAGAGGGACTAAGAAAGTCTGAAGGGCAGCCTTTAGCTCAACAAAATGCTCAAGATGATCGGAGATCCATATCATAATTGAACCATTGGATCTATGGGATAAAGGTTCAAGTTCAAGTGGATATGGAAGCTATGAAAATAGCATTAAAACCACTACTTAAGTCAAACATTCTAGTCATTCACTAAAAATATAGTATTGGAGGAAGTTTCAGGTTCAGTTGTTGTAATATGATGAATGATCAATTGTTTGCATTTTAATTTTATTTTACTCTAATTCCATTTTAATTTTATTACTTCATAAATGATCAATTGTTTGCAATAAATACAAATGAAATAAAATTTTTAGAACTTTCTTTTCGATTTGTTATTTATTTTGTATTTTTTTAATTTTTGATCATTCGCCAAAATACTTGTCATTTTTACTTAGCAAAAAAAGTAAAAAATACTTAACAAAAACAAAAACAGAATCAGGCCCCTGGCTCGGCCCAGCCCAGGCCTACAGCTTGATGTTGCCTAGGCCTGTGGCATAATTCTGACATGGCATGGATCCACTTGGGCTAATGTTAGAGGCTATGTTAGGCTTCCCCTTTAAGGGGTTCTAGGCCAAGCAGGCATAACGTGTCTAAGCCTGCTTTTCAGCATGGCACAACCCGCTACAATGATGTGGGTGTCCCGCTAGGTCATGATAGTGTAGCATGTTCCACATTACACCTCTACTTGTACTATTGTACATAATTTTCAAAAAGTCTTTTCCACCCTTTTGTTAATTCTTCAATTTTCAATATAATGGAATATCTCTTATAAAAAAGTGAACCATAAAACACTTGTCTCACTTTTGACTTCCCCATGCGCATGAACTCAGGGGTCCATGGTCATAATAAAGTAGAACAGAAGAAAATATAAAATAAATAAGGGAAAAACTACTATGTTCGTAACAGCTAGTTGGGGTGAAAAACTACTTCCATTTTAACGAAATAGGTGAAGAGTTTACTTCAGCCACCTAAACTAATTGGCACCGCTATGTTCGTAACAGCTAGTTCTGCTTCACGGAATCTACCCTTAGCAACTACTACGTTCGATCTCTACTAGTGTCTGAGGAGCAATAATATTTCCTCTCCATCCGACCTGAGCGTTTGAGATCTAGGCGATGGAAATTCGAGAGAACGACGAGCCCCCTCTGTCAACTTGTTCCGGTGCTTCTTTTTTACATTTTTGGATTTTCTCTATGTTTTCGTTTTCTCAATACCAATAGTTTTTAAAGCAAGATTTAGGTTTTTGTGAAGATAAAACTTCAGAGGAAGTTTTTATATTTTACCCAAACCATACAGATCAATTAAAGATAATATTAATTAATAGAGTATGGATGACAACATGTTCGGAAGAATCACTGCCAAACTTTTTCTCTCATTCTTAATTATTGAAATTTAATTTTCTAATTTATTCCATTGGTGCAACTTGTCTGGAGCAGTTGTTAAATTTCACTGACTAAACACTCAATGGAACCTTTCCTATTTGTTATATGTCTGGAATCTGGAGCGGGTTACATATCATGGTTATATGGACCTGCTATCTTACCCGTTTGCCTTTCTTCAGAGTTCATACCTATGCCAGCTGTATGTATGGTCCAGTACACATCGGATTGGTTTTAACTAACCCATTTTAACCCACATCCAGCGGTGCAGAATTATGCATTATGCGGTGTAATTTGATTCAAATGAATATCATTATGCTTAAGTTGTGCTTTAATTTTTGCGCAATTAGAATGGGTTAACGAGATTAGAGTGAGATTATACAAAGAATTCGAATCTCCTACCCATAAATTATTCCCAAGGGACATTACAGGTATATATACATTTAGAATGTTTCCCTTATCCTGATATATATTGTCAATACACGGCCATGGTTAGGAATGTGGGAAGAGTTTGGTTGCGGTTCCATTGCTTCAGCTCGTGTTGATGCTATGACCAACAGTGGCGGCATCATCAAAGGTCTTGATGGGAAGGCCTGGTTGCCCAGACGCGTGTGGGCCGTGGCATATTACTGTTTTATACCCCATTTGGCTAGATCAACCAAATTATTATAAATAAGTTCTGCCAACTGACCTGCAACTAAGAGTGGCAATGGATCGGTTTTGGATTGGAACCCATCCAGTCCAAAATCAATTTGGATGGATTGGATGGACCAACAAAACATGTTGGATTAGATCAATTCGGTCCAAAATATTTATTAGATTGGATTGGACCTGATCGCCCGTAACAAATTTATATTAGATTAGATTGGATTAAGCCAATATTTGATCCATTGATATAAAATAAGAATATATGTGTCAATGAATCAAGTTTGAATTAAAACCAATATAAATCAAAATAAATTTGAACGGACTTAACAGTCCAAACATTGAATTGGACCGGTCCAAAACATTCATTGGATTAGATTGGACCTGATCCATTTATAATGGGCTCACATTGGACTGGATTGGATTGGACCAAATCCAGTCCAATAAACACTCCTACCTGCAACCACACTTCCAACGACCGTTCTCAAATGGATATTAGGAACATTGGAAACCAAATTGTTACATGTACTGGTTCACTTTGTACCGTGGCTGTGGCAAACACATCCATGTATACATACTTTGTAAGGTGTCAGTGGCTGTGTCAAATACATCCATGTATACATATTTTGTAAGGTGTCGGCTGAAAGAAGAAAGAAAAATAAAGGATAAAACCAATCCCTACTCAACAGTGGTAATCCATAATATGGGTGCAAATCGGGTTGGCCCGTGTTAACAGTTTACATTGTTTTGTATTTAGGCTTTGGGTTGGGCCCATTGGGTTTACTGAAAGACCGTGCTCCAAAAAAATATTAGAAACTCAATTCAAGCTTATTTCAGAAAGTTAGAAATGTTCTCATCTTTTGTCACCTGTTCAAATCTTGTCTTTATGCGAAAAGATATACCTCCAACCAAATAATCTATAGATTGCCAAAATTTTTATGTAAAATCTCACACGGTTTCTTGACTATCGGATCTTCCAGAATATCTTTAAAAAAAACTTGCAAAAGTGACACCACAACCAGAAAACACCACACCTTACCAACCAGCTAATTGACAACTTACATTTATTTTCCTCTTCTCTCCTATTCTATAACAAGCAGCTGGTGAAATATAATTAATGCATTATTTATTACTTTGCCTGCATAATGCGACAACCATCACAAAATTTTAGGGGATTATAACAGATAAAGTTAACTTTAGGTCCTTAATATCAATAAAAGTAATGCTTTTAAAAAAATTCAAAAATATGTTAACTTTTTAAAAATAATATCAATTAAGGGCAAAAATACTGTTCATCTTCTTCCTCTTATAATCTATCAGCTAGTGAAATATAATTAATGCATTATTTATTACCTTGCCTGCATAGTGCGACAACCATCATAAAATTTTAGGGGATTATAACAGATAAAGTTAACTTTAGGTCCTTAATATCAATAAAAGTAATGCTTTTAAAAAAATTCAAAAATAGGTTAACTTTTTAAAAATAATATCAATTAAGGGCAAAAGTACGTTAAGAGCCAACCCTAGGTCTAAGGTTTTCAGATCTGAAAACAAAATTCCAATCAAGTTTAAGAGGTAAAACCAAACAAGTGTGAGGATCTAAAAAGCAGCAATTTCAGATTTAAATTAACCTGTGAAAAGTGCAATCAAACGACCTCATAAACTACATGAATACAACTTTAATTTGCGCTACAAGAAAGGAATACAGCTTTAACTACTATACTAGAAAGAGAGAAGGAACACAAAAAGAGTTGGAAAGAGAAAGCAACTTAACCCACATACTTGAAGGTATTGTTCACAAAAACATAAACAGCCTATGCATTTATCTCCTGAGTTTTCTACAGGATATCCCATCGAAATGCTTATTAAATGAAACCCAATGGAAACCATACAAGTTTGGCTGGCATTGGGCATTTCTTTTTAACCAAGCACATGATTCATGTCTGTGTATCCGTGGTATCTGGTATGCACATGGAGCGAAGACTGTCACTCGAGTCCCTATTTAATACGGCATTATTGTAAGATCTAGTAACCTATTTTCTATTCTAAGAGCCCGTTTTGGAGGGTTTTGACACAGTGCCTCCTTGTATTGCAGTGTAAGCCTCGCACATAAAGCCATTAGGTCATATTTGGTGAAAAACCTGAAATGCTCAAACAATTGTCTAGTAGCTTATTTGAAGCCGACCCGGTAGTTCAATCAATGCTGAAGCCTTTTTAAATAGATTCTTAATTAGAAGTCCCGGCACGGCTCGGCACGAAATTGGACCGATCTGGCCCGGCCTGGCATGATGGTCCGTGCCGTGCTGGGCCAGGGGTTCACAGTCCATGGGCTGGTACGGCACAGCCCGACTGTTCGTGTCGTGCTGCCCGCGGCCCGCACCACGGCCTATCATAGGCCGGCATGGAAAGGCCCGTAGCGGGTCGTGCTCGACTCATTTGAAAACTAGTCGTTGGGCCCCCCTCCTCCAAGCCTCAAGTCCCCCCAACGGCTAGTTTCAGCTTTTTGGGGGATTTTTTACATAAACTCCCCCTAACAGCTATAAACAACTATATAGGGGGGTATTTATGTATTTTGCTTATGGAGGGGAGAAAATTGACACAAATGCCCCCCAACAGCTATATAACAACTAGTTTTAGGGGGCTTTTTGGGTAAAGTTATAAATAATTTTATCATAACCAAAACACCCCTCCTAATAACTAAAAAACAGATAGTTTTTAGGGTATTTTGGGCAATTAAATTATTTTCAATTCCTATAAATAACCCTATCCTCCACCATTCTTCTCATCAAACCAATTCAACAATTCTCTTATTCTCTTAATCTCTTCCCTCTTTCTCATACATTCTCTACAATCCGAGTGAACTCTAATAGTCTGATTAGCTGATTGTCTGATTCTCCAAGTTAGCAATTTGGGAGGCTTGGAGACTTGAACGTTGAATTTTAAAAAATTCAATCAAATTAATTTTTTTTTTAGAGTTTAAAAAAATGGTCGATTCTTTCCAAAATCCCAAGTTTAGTAGTTCGATTTGGAAAATATTTAAAATAGAGGATGTTGAGGGGAAGGGGAAAAGAGCAGTTTGACAAAAATGTAGAAAAGACTTTAGCTATTGTAGCAAGGGTGGTATTGGCCATTTGAGCAGACATTTTCTCATACATGAGAAGGAGGAAGAAGTAACCCACAATTTAAATGAATTGTTGAAATAATGGAAAATAAATTTTAAAAATATTGGGAGAACATTTCTCGCTGCCATGGCACGTGATCCATGATCTACTAACCCCTCCGGTGTCTACAAGCTACAGTTCCATGACTTCCATCGAAGTTTTGTTCAGTTGTTTTAGTGCAGGTACCACTGTACCATGGTTGGCTAGATGTAGTCATGATGCAGAATATAGGTTATAACTTTACAATTATAAGACAAATGAGGGCATGATACTACTACATACATCGGATATTTCACCTGAAGCAGATGATGAAAGTCATGATTCATGAACAATAGTTGACTAGTTGTATAGATTTTTTTATTTTCTTCCCAATTATTGTAAATTTTGTTTTAATTTTATTTAATTTATTTGCTACTAATGTAATTTTGTATTTTCAATTTGTAACTATATTATATTTTTATATTTTATTAATTTATTCCATTTTCATATTTCATTCATCCAAGTATGAAGTATGAAGTATTCAACCATTGTATATTTCAATATTTGTAAGCTTTGTAATTTGTATTATTAATTCATTATTCATTCAAATTTAAATGAAATAAAATTTCAATTTGAATTGTTTTATTTATTTATTTTTGGGTAATCGTAATCCATTCAATCTAGCTTGGTTCGGCCTAGGCCCAAGGCCTGCCCTATGGCCCAGCCCGACATGGCCCAAGCCCACAGCACGGCCTGTAGCCCAGCTCGGCCCAGGCCCGCGGCATGGCACGGCATGGTATGGGCCTGCACGAGTCAGCGGACAGTTATTCGTGGGTCGGCCCAGACCCACCTTTTGATCCTCTTAGTAGCAATATTTGGTTTGATTGTTGAAGATTTTTAAAACCAAACCGGACAGTTATTCGTGGGTCGAACAGTCCTACAGTTTGAACAGAATGGATGGTATGTTCTGATAAAAGAATAATAATAAATTAAAAATAAATAAAAAGGCCAAAAAGCTATTGTCTGGGTTAATGGTTCAATAGTTTGACTGCCTGAATCAACAGTTCGCTGACCAAATCAACGGTTTTTGACCAAAAAGCAATTCTAAGGTGAAACAGAAATGGTTCCCGGTTTTCGAGTCTGATTGTCTAGCCCCATCCAGTTTTGAAAAATTGATAAAACCCATATCTGTGAGAGTAATTTGCAAAACATAGGAAAACAACTCCAAGCGATGCCAATTCACTTCAACATGAATTTTCGAGAAACAATATGTAAAGATTTATCTCTCTAGTATTAAAAGTCCGATGGGCTTTCATTGAATGACTTGAGAGCTTCCTCCATTAACCCAATGGGTAGGTGATGAAACCAGAAATTGAAGGATCAAGACCCTTGTGTTGTCTATAATTAAGTAGAATTATTTTTAGGTGAGATGCCTTCGAGTTCAATATGACAATGTCTTTTAGAAATCAAGTAGGACTTGAAGGAAGCCCTAGTTATCTTGCTTGAATGAAGGGACAGTTAAGTAAGCCATAACATCCCATTTCTTTCATGACTTTTACAGTTTTAATGGTTTTATTTGAAAAGTTAAAGAGTTATGAAGGGTAGCAATGTCTTTTGATGTATTTTGTTAAATATAACGGCATGTTGTTCTAATGGTGGAGCTTGGAGTTGTATAAAAGATTAGAGGGGAGATATAAAATAGCATAGATGGAAAAAAAAGACTGTTTGCAGAAATTTTCTGAAAAGAAAGTTACTGATTTATTTGGATTTAACATGGCAGAAATAGGGAATCATTATAAGAATTTGGGATTTGCTGCTCATATAGCGCTTCTCACAACGAGTTCATAGTCACATCCCATCATGTAGTGGGAACATCTCTCATGAATAATAACATATAAGAATGGGAGAAGTCCCCAATATGTGACTAATACATGCTGTAAAGTTGGTGTGAAGAGCCATCTGTGAGGAGTAGATTGGGACTCTATTATAAGGCCTTGGCACTTAGCCAAGTAGTAAGCCTTTTCCTTGCAAATTGGAATCCAATGAAACTTAGTCCATGTGCTCAAGATTCCTTGATTTTTCTTTGGGTAAATTATAAATAGATACCTTGAATTTTGAGGGTAGTTACAAATAGGTATCTAAACTTTTAATTATAACACTTAAGTACACTGAACTCTTAAAAATACATGATAGATAGATTTGAACTTTTTACAAGATCAAGATGGCTTGATTCGTGTGTCCTTTAACAAAAGAATTGGGATTAATCGAACTTTTTTATTCACCCTTAACATTATCAAGGCTGTGTTTCGTTTGAAAGAAAATGAAGGGAAGGGAGAGATACCTTTTCAAACCTGAAATCTTGTACAGGTTTTCCAAATTTTTTCTTCATCTCCGTACCTTTTTTTTCGAACCAAACACAACATAAAGGAATAGGGATAAAGTGCTGCAATACGAAAGTGGGGAATCTTTTGTTGCAAACCAAAACTATGGTGGGGGCTAAATATCACTAGTCCTAATTACAGGGTGGTAATCTGTAATTTATTTGTAGTTTCATTGTATTTGAAAACATTGTATTTGAAAAAGTTCAAGAGAGACTTGTGTAGTTTCATTGGGTTTCATTTATAAGCATTTCAATTGAATCTAAAAGGCAGGGATGAAAAAGAATGCTCAAGAGGTCTTTTGATCTTTACGTTGGGATTTCGATAGATCTTTTTTAGAAATACTTACGAAATAGAATCTTAATTTAGGGCCTGTTTGGCATATCTTTTCTCATAGTCTTTCAATTATTTATAAGCTGGGCAGACTGATTTTTTATTTATTTTTTTATTTAGCTCGTGGAAGGTCTAACCACCAAAAGTCAAAGTGTCGAAAAGATACAAAAAACTCATTTTGGGCTGATCTCGGGAAGCTCCAAATAAAACTTTTGGTGTTTTTCGCATTTTATTCTTGTGCAGAAAAATACAGAAAAACATGTATATGTTAAATATGCTTCAAAATGCTCAGATATTCATGCAAAAATTCGCGTCTTTTGAATATTATAACTACCAAAAGATCTTCTAAAAAAGATACACCAAACAGACCCTTAGTTAATTTGTTAGTCTTCGGGATGAATTGACTAACAAGCAACATCTACGTCTGAGGCGGAGCCCCAACCTACAATGATAAACTTGTGAATTTCATAACAAAAAAAAATAAAAAATAAAAAACCTGCAAAAGCAGTACTGAATCCACTGCAATCAGAAGCGCGTAAAGCGGGTTAATAACCAATCAAGACGACCCGGAGCACTCTTATACTGGTCTTTATTGAAAGTTGAAACTGTCGTCGTTTTCATAGAGATTGCTGATTGGATAGAGTTGGAGGATTCCACACGGAGACTAAAAGAAGACGAGGTGTCACAAGTGACCAAGTCGCACTCGAGCGACAGAGGGGCACTCTTATACTATTTCAACATTCATCCAGCTCGGCCTATTACCTATATGTAGAGGGTGCCCATCCCATACGAAACCAAACCTAACATTAATTGATAGATATGGTTCTGCTTATTGTGCTTTTCCTGCTCCTTTGGTTGTGCTCAACGGCAACATCTTACGCCACACCGGTGGCAATTGCCGGCTGCCCGGACAAATGTGGGAACATCACCGTTCCCTATCCGTTCGGCATGGGAGGAACAAATTGTTACAGAGATTTGTACGATGTAACCTGCAACCACACTTACAACCCTCCTAAATTGTTCTTAGCACAAGGAACGGTGGAAGTTTTAGAAATATCACTGGAGGGCTTATTACGCGTTAATGGGAGCATAGGCTACACTTGCGACGATGGCCGTGGATCTGAGAGTAGTAGGGAGCACCTCTCTCAGGTAGATTTAGAACGGAGGCCCTACACGTTTTCGGACACCCGCAACAGATTCACGGCTCTCGGGTGCGACACAATCGCCACCATAAAAGGCTCCAATGGTCGCAATTTCACGAGTGGATGTGCTATGTTCTGCAGCAACGAAGAGAGCGTGACCAACGGGTCTTGTTCAGGCATTGGTTGTTGTCAGACCTCCATCCCCAAGGGGTTCAAGAAGTTCAACTTGGAGCTAGGGAGCTATGAAAACCACACCAAAACCTGGAATTTCAGTTGGTGTAGCTATGCTTTCCTTGTTGACCATGAGTGGTATAACTTCTCGGCAACCGATCTCTCCGGATTTTGGAGTAGAAATAACGGAAAAGTTCCACTCGTGCTGGACTGGGCAATAGAGGGTTTTCGGTGCGGAAATGCTTCAACGAGTGACCCAAACTACGCATGTGGGAAGAACAGTGAGTGCTTCAACTCTTCCAACAGTCTTGGGTACCTATGCAAGTGCTCTCCAGGTTACCAAGGAAATCCTTACCTGAAAGAGGGATGCCAAGGTTGGCAATCAATCTACCTTTTTATTTCTTCTTTCATCATGCAAGTTTTTTTTTCCTAATTAATACTGATTTATATAATCTAATTATGATAAACATTGCCTTTGATTTTAGTGAAACAATAATTATGGTAAGCTTACTTAACTTGGATGTGAATAAAATTATTGAATCCAGATAGAGACGAGTGCGCCCATTCAGAACAGAACGATTGTTTGCACATTTGCACTAATACGCCTGGGAGTTACATCTGCTCTTGCCCTCCTGGTATGGAGGGGGATGGAAGAAAATATGGAAGTTCTTGCATAGCTCCAGTGCCTCCAGTCAGGCAACCTCTTCTCATAAAAGTTGCGTTAGGTAATGAATCTTGAATCATATCCCACCTGATATTCCCCTGATATCTAATTAAGAAATCGCAGGACCCCAACTGATGGTGGATCATCAGTTGGTAGCACTGGGATCAAAATCCCGCTGCCATTGGCCCATTGGGGGTTAAGGGGATGGGCTACCCGGTCCCCATTTGTAAATCCATAAAGTCAAAAAATTAATTTTAAGTATTATGAGAAATAAAAATAATAAAAAAGAATAATGATTTTATTAATTAAAATTTAAGTATTCAATATGATATGATATGTATCTTATAAATTATAATGGATTTAATAAATTTCAAAATTACGATAATATATTCCATAAATTATTAGTTATTTAATTTACAATAAATAAGTAATAATATATTAATTATTTACAGAAATAAAAATACTATTTTCAAAATTGACTTAACATTTTTAAGAAGCTAAAACCGTTGACTTAATTTTTTCTGGTAGTTTATAAAATTAAAAATAAAATATACAAAATTGGATTAATGTAATTAAAATATAATAGTTACTTCTTTTTTTTTTGTTTGTTTGAGCTAAGCAGATATGGGTTGTGCTACCAACTCTGTTGATCAAGGAGAAGCATCATACCAAGACTTTCCTAGTAGGAATCTTAAGACGAATTCGTTGAGGAAAAAAGAATAAAGAGTAGGTTGAGGAACGGGATTGGAGGTTTGTGAGAAGTCTGATGGGGAGATCAAGGAATTTGATGTTCTCCCTGCCTCCCTGGTAGAAAAAAAATAAAAATAAAAATCTCTGTTTGGTCACAGTTAGAATCTGAATCAGAATTTGAAATCCTTCTGATTCAGAATTGGAATGGTCTATTTACTTTGGTTCACTAGAATAAAAAATCAGAATCTGTTGGAATGGATTCTCATTCTTGGGAGAGGAGGAGGAAATGGCCATTCCTTCATATAAGATAATACTATTCCCATTCCACCCAATCAAACAGTTTGAATTGGAATGACTATCCAATTCGAATTCTAAACTCCTATTTCTACAAACCAAACAGACCCTGAAAGACTGTTAAGCTTTTACAGGAACGTGGTGGTTGTAGGTGGCAACATATAGACTATAGAGACCAGAAGCATTATGGATATGGGAGAGGGGGGAGAGGTAGCCGGGGTAAGAGTGTCGCTATGTGATCTTTTGAGGGAGGGTTGGCTTTCCCCATGGAGTGGACTATAGGCTTCTCTGCTTGAGGGTGTCAGTTTTTTTTAAATGTTTTTCTTTTATATTATTTTATTCTTTCTATCAAGAAAAAGGATAATAATTTCGTTGTTTTAGTTTAAAATTCTTTTCCATGTCTTAAGATTTATTGAGTTAAATGGGGATCGGTTCTCGGCTTGAACGGTCCGATCATTCGGATCAAATGGACCGATTGTTCTGACAAAAGAAAATTTTAAAATTTTAAAAACAAAAAAAAACGGCCAAAAATTGTTGTCCATATATATATATATAGCATATTTGGTGGTTAGAGATTTTATTTTGGTAATTATGTTCTACAATATTCGTAGTTTCCATTTGGTATTAATTTTATGTTAATTGTAAAATTTAAAATTTCAATGGTTATGCAGGTGTTGGTTTAAGTGTAACTTTACTCCTTGTTGGTGGTTATTGGTTGTACCAAGTTTTAAAGAAAAGATGGATCAAGAAACTCAAAGAAAATTTCTTCAAAAGAAATGGTGGTTTGTTATTACAACAACAAATCTTGGCAGAGGAAGGCAATGTTGAGAAAGTAAAAATTTTTACAGCAAAAGAGTTAGAAATTGCCACAGACCACTATAATGAGAACCGTATTCTTGGTCAAGGGGGCCAAGGCACAGTATATAAAGGTATGCTCTCCGATGGAAGAATTGTGGCAATCAAGAAGTCGAAATTATTAGATGAAATTCAATTAGAACAATTCATTAATGAGGTTGTCTTACTTTCCCAAATTAATCATAGGAATGTGGTTAAATTGTTAGGATGCTGTTTAGAGGCTGAAATACCTTTGTTAGTATATGAGTTCATATCCGGTGGAACCCTTTTCAATAATATCCACAATCAGAATGAAGACTTCTCATTCTCATGGGATCATCGCTTAAGAATTGCAACAGAGGTTGCGGGAGCAATTGCCTATTTGCATTCAGCAGCATCCATGCCAATCTATCATAGAGACATCAAGTCATCAAACATTCTTTTAGATGATAAATATAGAGCAAAAGTATCCGATTTTGGGACTTCAAGGTCAATTGCAATTGATAAGACTCATATAACCACAGCGGTACAAGGGACCTTGGGTTATCTAGACCCAGAGTACTTTCAATCAAGTCAGTTTACAGAGAAGAGTGATGTTTATAGTTTTGGGGTAGTTCTTGTGGAACTGCTTACCAGTGAAAAACCAATTTCTTCAACTAGACCGCAAGAAGGGAGGAACTTAATCACACATTTTATTTGTTCAATACAAGAAAATCGTCTTTTTGAGATTATTGATCCTCAAATTGTACAAGAGGGTCAAAAAGATGAGCTCAAAAAAGTTGCCAACCTTACGAAGAGATGCTTGCACTTGAATGGGAAGAAAAGGCCTACAATGAAAGAAGTTGTAGTGGAACTTGAGGGATTGAGGATGTGTGAAAAGAATCTTGTTTTTCAAAAAACAGAGGAAGAGGTGGAATGCTACATAAGTGAAACATCAAGCCTGTGGGATACTAGTTCAACTTCAACTAGGGTCAGAAGTTCAGAAAACACTTTCAGGTCCCCACTAGATGAACAACCATTGTTGTTTAATTAATATATCAATTCAATCGTAGTCCATCCTGTATTCATCTTTCTTCTTTGGTAAAGGTAGTATTGTATTCATCTTATGCTCTTGGTTCATTGATTTTACTAAAGAGGGCTTTATATCGTGTAGTCTAATCCCTGAATCAAGATGGAAGCTAATAGAATGGCATTATATATTTATATACATGGGCCCAAAAACACTTAAAATCCAATGTCTTCAACCAATCTCTCTATAGTGAGATATACTATTCAACAACATTTGCCTTRGTAAAAACAAACTTAGCTGTCCAAAGAATTCTTTCACTCTAAGTTTTAAATGTATTGAAGTAGTTTTGTGCTTTGTAGATGTCAATCATGAAATTTTAATGAAGAAAGCATCATCCAGGCTAGTCACTATATATTCCTAATTAAATAAACTTGGTCACGAGGTTTGGCCATTGGACACCCTCTTGGCTTTTAATTTCACTTCTCAAGTTATTGCTCAATCTATCATCTATATACCCTCCTATAGGGCATATTGTATATTTGTATCATATCTGTCGATACACCTATTTCAATGGTATTTTTCAAGAAACTTTTTTCTAATAATTAAAACACATAAAAGCAAGCCCAAGCTCAAATTTTGAAAGAAAACAAAAAAAAAAAAAAACAAAAACCAAAAATCGCAAAACGCAAGGTTCAAAGTCTCAAAGTCTCAATTTGGGGCATGTATCAAAATTTTAAACTTGTTCCTACCACGATTAAAATATCCTTTGAACTGCCAATAATGAGTGCTACCTCTATGATGTCATAATTTTATCCAATGTTTTAGACAATTTTATCAGGCATAAAATATATTGAAAGACACATAAATACTAATTATTATACTTGAATGTGATTGATAAGATGGCTAGTATATATATATAATGAGTGCTACCTCTATGATGTCATAAATTTATCCAATGTTTTAGACAATTTTATCAGGCATAAAATATATTGAAAGACACATAAATACTAATTATTACACTTGAATGTGATTGATAAGATGGCTAGTTCTTATATATATATATATATACTATTATATGGAAAGATGCATATCTACTAAATAGTCTTCGGGTTATTTAAATTTTATGTCAAAAGCTCAATGCATCTTTTGACCGTTAAAGGTACAAGAAGATATTCTCAAAAAGATTTGCCAAACAGATGCTTATTTTTTAATATTTCTCCCAATTCTACTACCCATCAACTTATCTAACGTCTAATGGTTTCAAATCGCATTCAACGGTCAAACAATAACAATAAACGTTTAATCTCGTGTTTCAAGACAAATCTAGTGTGCCGATGCATTTCAATAATTTACTAGTAATCACGAGAAAGTAATAAATATTTAATGTTATTATATGATCTTTTAATGTCCAATTTTGCAAGTAGTAACAATTAACAAACAATGCACATAGGTCTTACCCACCTGCTAGTAATACTTAAGGTCTACGATACAAAGCTAAATACACGCTTAGCTCGGGGAAGATCATGCAGAGAGGCCCTCACAAGAGACTGAGGTGGCCCTGACATTCGAGGCACGCCCTCTACAACCCAAGGCCCAAACATCTAAGGAAGCTCCTGAAGAGAGGCGAACCATCATGGACTTTAGGACTGCCTTAATCAAAACCAAGGAGGCCATCTTCCCCAAAGAGGTTTCCAACCTTTCTGACATGCAGTTTAGTGAGCTTGGCGACAAAGCTATGCACTTCCTCATGATGGCAAGTTTCCAACTTCCTCATTGTGCTATTCTTGAATTGTGTTTTTATACTTAGCTTCTRTTTTCCTTTGTAGATGAACACCATGGTCCACTCCCTTGTCAAGCAATCTAAGTGATATTTGGTGAGGGCTAAAATTGACGAGGCAGCGGCAGGCGAGTATCAGTCTCGGGTGGAATGAGCTGTAGGAGTCATCGGCCAGTTAAAGACGAGCTGATGAACRAGAGGAACCGTAACGGTGAGATGGAGCTTCACGTCAAGAAGCTCAAGAAGGAGTTGCAGGAGAAGGATGATCACCTCGCTAAACGCAAGGCCCAATTTCTCGACAAGATCCAAGCTTCCAAGGTCCGAGYCATCGAAGAGTTCAAAGTCTCCCCAGACTTCTTACAAGAGAGGGAAGAGTTCGAAACTAGTGCTTTCTGTCAAGKYATTAAACTTTGCCAAATGTTGGTGAGGTCAGCGATGTACCCTGAGCTCRACCTCTCACCCATCAAGTCCTTGGCCTATACCAATSAAATGTCAGATCAGGTCGATCTGGAGCCCAATTCCAAGGATGAAGAAGATGGGGTAAGTGAGGAAGCTGAGGTCGAAGTCGGTGTGGATGTTGCCGAGGTGGATGCTACCGAAGGAGAAGCTGCCGTCGTGGTTGGTGATGGGAATGAGGATCCCTAGAATGTCTGAGTCCTTTTTGCCTATTTTCTTGGACCCCCTATAAATGCGTAATGTGCCAAGCCTCCGAGCTCAGCCTAAGAAATTTTCCTCTTTTTTTATGACGATGCAATCACTTAAGCTCAATGAAGTAAACTTTTTGCACACCTCGTCTCTTTCTTCTTTCAAACCTAAACAAAAAATATACTAAGTATGGGATTAACCCGAGGTGCCTAGGTGCTAGAGCAACTAGGCATATCAAACTGCCAACATCATTGCCAGGTCGGCATAAGGGGCCTTTATGGTAAAAGTGACTTACCATACCCTTTAAGATGTAGTTTAGTCAATGTGCCCCCATAATGCAGATCGGCTCGACCAGGTTGCCGAGGTGGGTGGTCTTTTATACTTAGTGAAAATTTGCAAAGTTAGTGGCATTGCAGACGCTGAACTCTTGAGCTCAAAGGTAGTTCCTCCTTAAGTTATCCACATTCCAAGCACAGGGGACCTGTGTCCCCTCCAACATCTCGAGCTCATACGTTCCTTCACCGATCACCCTTAGTACTTTGTAGAGACCTTCCTAGTTCATTCCTAACTTACCTACATCAAGCTCAGGTACCAAAACTTTCTGAAGTATTAGGCCGCTAACTCGAAAGTGGCATTTCTTGACTCGGGCATTATAGTATTGAACTACTCGTTACTAGTAGGTCACGGTCCAAATATAGGACAGGTCTTGGACTTCTTCCACTAGGTCGAGGTTCGCCTGTAGCTTGTCGTCGTTGTCCTCCTCGTCATACGCCTCAAACCATAAGGTGGGCAACTCGATCTCAGCAAGGATGATTGCCTTCGTTCCGTATGTCAAATTAAAGGGGGTTTCTCCGATTGCCATTTTGATCATAGTCTGGTAGACCCAAAGAATGTTGGGCAGCTCGTCTACCCACAAACCCTTAGCTTAGGAAAGCCGAGATTTATGTTTATAGAGGATTGCCCTATCCATTACCTAGGCCTATCTGTTTGCTTGGGGATGAGCTACTGAGGTGAAGTTTTGCTGGATCCCCATCTCGGCATACCAATTCTGGAACTTGATATCCTCGAACTGCTTCCCGTTGTCCGATATCAGCACTTTAGGAGTCCGAACCTGCACACTATGTTCATTTAGAAGAAGCTTTGTATATTTTAGGTTGTGATTTACACCAGTGGCTCAACTTCCACCCACTTTGTGAAGTAGTCAACTGCGGTGACCAAGAACCTTCTCTGCCCGGTCGTAGGTGGGAAGGGACCGAGGATGTCTATCCCCCATTGAGTGAATGACCATAGGATGGTTAGGTACTTCAGGTCAGCGGTAGGTTGATGTGGCATGTTAGCATTCCTCTAGCAGTTATAACATGTCTGAACGAGTTTGAGTGTGTCCAATTTCATCGTAGTCCAGTAATAGTAGGAGAGCGTGAAAGACCTATGGTACAACTACTCTCCAATGATGATGTAGCGAGCTGACTGCCGCTCTACCCTCCGAGTTGCATTGCAGTTTGTTGGTAGGGTCTTGTGACATAGATATTCAATGAGTGAATTCATCCAGCTCGATTCTACTACCAAAATAGGAGCGACCTCTTCTACCACCCTCTCTATACTTGGTCATGGTAGGTCTTCAACATAGACCATTCTCCTTGTGATTTTTGTTGCACTGGCTAGCTTTGAAAGAGCGTCGGCCTCTGTGTTCTCAATCCTCAGTATTTATTGAATATACCAAGAGTGAAAGTTGGGCAAGATTTCTCACACCTTGGCCAAATAGGCCGACATGGCAGGCTCCCGGGCCTCATACTGCCCACTCACCTGGTTTACCACCAATTGAGAATCGTTGCATACCACAATGTGTTTTGCACTGACCTCCTTTGCCAAAGTCAGCCCGACTATCAGTGCCTCATACTTTGCCTCGTTGTTTGATGCTTCAAATTCAAACTAGAGGGCATACTCCAACTTCACCTCGCTTGGCCTGCAAAGCAACAACCCAGCTCTGCTTTCACATTGGTTAGACGAGTCGTCGACATAGAGGATCTAGGGCTCATCGTTCCAGGCCGGGACTCCCAAGGCTGGGATAGGTGCCACACTGGTTGATGCCTCCGATGTGATAGCATGCTTAGCCACTCCAAGGGTCGGCGTGCTGAACATGCACTTGGCGACAAAGTTGGCCAGGACCTGTGCTTTAATTGTTAGGCGTAGCTCAAACCGGATATCATATTCACTCAGCTCGATGACCCACTTCATTAACCTTCCCGAGACCTCGGGCTTCTAAAGAACATGCCTCAAAGGCCGGTTAGTTAGGACTACGACGATATGGGATTGGAAGTAAGGGTGCAACTTTCGAGCTGCCAAAACTAAAGGCCAACTTCTCAATGTTGGGCTACCTAGTCTTAGCTGCATGCAACACTTTATTTATATAGTAGATGGGTCGTTAAACCCTGTCTACGTCTCTAATTAGTACCGAGCTAATCGTCACTTGCCGAGAGGTAGAGTTTTAGCTCGTCTTCGGGTTATGGTCTGGTTAGTAGTGAAGGTGAACTGAAGTACCTTTTAAGCTCGTTGATTGCGAGTTGGAACTCCTTATTCCACGCAAAGTCCTCGTTTTTCTTTATGGCCTTAAAAGAATGGAAGACATTGCCCAGCCAACTTATACATAAATTGGTTTAGGGAGGCTATCCAACCTGTTAATTTTTGTACATCCTTAATTGACCTAGGTGGTCTTATATCTAGGATTGCTTGGATTTTATACAAGTTGGCTTCGATGCCATGTCATTGCACTAT